CATTTGACCCATGTAACAAAAGAGATCAAAGGAGAGTGATCTGCATGCAATCCTAATAAGTGGTCTGGGCCAGCGGGTAAGAATGTGTCCACATCCTGAGGAGATGTTACCCTGAGCAGCCTCCGTAGATGTCCAGTTTTGGCATATCTTTCCCTACAATGAGGATGTGGATACCAGAGGATTGTTACTGAACTGACCCAGCCAGGGTCTTTGGCTAGCGACCTTCTCTTACTTGGCCTCTCCAGGCGATGCTTTGATTATAATCTGACTTTCTAGGTAGTCTTCCTCTTTTTGGCCAAAGTCCTAAATGCCCACTAAGTAGTACTTTGTCTCCTGAGCTGTTATGTTTTTCATAGTAAATGGACACTCCAGACTGCTATAAATTGGATCACTTTGAGTCAGTTTTGATGAAATCCAGACAGGATGTCAGGACAAGCCATGTTGAGGACCAGACCCGGAGTTCTGTGGGTGTCTGCTGTAGATGCCCTGTGAGGCCATGTTTTTGACCACTAGCTGGTCCTTCTCTTTGATGTCTTCATAGGGAATCTCTGTTCTCTAGAAATTATTATAATCTTTAGAGACACATGTAAGTCATGATGCAAGGCAGGAGTTGACTGAATACTGACAAGAACTCTGTCCTTTGACCAAGACTTTAGTCAGGCTCCTCTGAGTCCTGCTTGAACTAGGCATTAACCCTTGGGCTTCCCTCTCTGTCCTTGTTGAATCTAGTTTGAATAAGAGTCCTGTTAAATCAGTTTAGGGAAAATCCTCTATGCCTGTATCTGACCACCCTACTATCTTATCATCCTGGCCTACCTTCATTACTAATCCTATCAAGTCAGTTTAGCCAGAAACCCCTTATCTTTGATGTTTCCTGTTAGTAATTTTCCATCCACTGGCCCCACCCTGCTCCTTAGTTATAAATCCCCACTTGTCCCTGTTGGAGTCTGAGTTGAGTCCAATTCCTATTTTCCACTGCAAGATCCCATTAACAGTGGTCCCCCTTGAATAAAGTCTGCCTTACCGTTTTTAACAAGTATCATGAATAATTTTCTTCATTAAAACTATTAAAGCAAAAGTACGTTGAAAAGCAAGGTGAAGAAGCTCCAAAAGGAAAAAGTTGAACCGAGTAGTACACGGTATAGGTGCTTAGAGTTTGAATGGTGGAGGATGTTTAGTTTAGCTTTGAGCTGAGCCCCAGAGAAGAGGTGGGATTGGAATAGGTAGTGAGGAAGGGGCAACAGGAGAAGCATTAGCAGAGGTTGAGAACTGAAAGAAAGGGTGAGTTTTCAAGGGAAGTGGCCTGACCCAGCTGAGGCAAGCTAGTCTTTGGGGCTTGCTAGGATGGATGCTTGGGTAGACCGGGGAGGGGTCATAAAACCTCCGAGTTTCTGGCTGGATAGTTTGGACTTAGACCTATTTGCAATGTGGAATGGATGGAGAGATTTGCATAGGAAATAGCTTGATGAAGTCACCTCATAAGGGTGATTAATTTGTTGTAATAATTGGAAGTGGGAAGAAATTGTAGGCTTGAGGAATGGAAGGGTGCTTAAAGCAATCTAGGTATAGGTGGTTGGAGACCAAAACTGTGGGGCAGTAGGGTGACTTGAAAGGGTCATTCATTATGAATTGAGAAGCCTTGGCAATTGGATATAAGATAAGAAGTGATGTATACTAGTAAAGAAATGGGCAAATAGTAAGCTTCTGAGTATGAAGATGCTGCCCACATATAATGTGCTAGGTTATATGTATAATATTGTAGTGCTTTACCCCAAATGTGCTTAAAACCCTCCCCTGACTCTATCAGCCTCCTGATATCAGCCTTCCTATAGAACTGTGTTTACCGCTGTCAAGCATGAACCATACTGAAGTCCTGTGCTTGCCTGTCTCCTCAACTAGGCCAGAAGCTTCATGAGGTCAGGGGCAGTAATTTTCCTCCAGAAAATCCTAATATGTTAGGTATTCAGATGTTTGTGGGATGCATTATATGCTATTATAGCTTCTTTCTGCTTTCTCTGGAGTGTTGTGAGTAGGCCTTTTAATTGATTATTACTTACTCTACTACCATCTAGAAAGTAATCAGCTACTGCCATTCCATGGAGTCAGAAGACTTAATGAAGCAGGGCCCTCTGCTTTCTTGTGTTGGCTTTTAGTGGACAGACATTTGCAGCATGCACCACTGTATGTATATCTTAAAGATAGGAACATGTACTTTGATTTTCTGATACAGTAAGTAACCCTGGGTGAGATAAATCAGACTGATGTCAAGGTTTAAAAACATTAGAGCCACAGAGGAGGAAAGTCTGCGGAGCACTAACGCCCATTACTGTGCTGGGTTCCCTGGAGAAGCAAAGTACAACATTCTCAACCTTTGTTACTCAAGATCTTCAGGGTGGATGGAAATGGAATTCATTAGAAGGAAAATACTGTTTTTACATTTCTTTTACATGCATAATTTTACTGGGGAGAGTATTTATGTGTGTTTCAGAGCATCATTCTATTTTGACCAATACTTGTGTTTTTCATTTAGTGACCATTGAAATGCTTTCCCTGGGAGTTGTGTTTGAAGGCTGAGAGAAGGCATTTTGATTCAAAAAGGTTCTAAGTTCTCCAAGCTATACTATTTAGGTAAATTTAAGTTGTCTGGATCAATGAAGACATAGTAAGCACTGTTTTCTTGTTTCTAGTCGGGAAGTGTTTTATGGGCTTTCTCAGCCTCTTATTTCTCACAGTTCCTACACCCGCTCATGAGGTGGCAAACTGCATTCTTCTTGCTGGATTGCATCACACTGTTACTTTTAAGGAATCCCTCTTTAGGTAGTACTTTCTATTTTTTCTTTTTAAGTTCTTTTGTAACATAGGCTTTGGGGAGCCGAAGCTGTTGTAATGAGTGGTCTTTTGCCTTTCCCTTTTCTCCTTGTAACCTCCTGTTGGGTGCTTGGGGAGCAAGGGTACCTTCTCTAGAAGGTTGGAGAAGAGTTTAGCTGTCAGTGTTTTTGGTATACACAGGGCAGGCAAGACAGTAATTTCAAGTGGGGAGTGGGCCACAGGTGTTTGTCATCCATGGAAGCTGTTGGCTGGAGTGTGGGCTTGCCCCAGACCACATTGTAGATTGCTGAGTGTTGAGTTATGAGTAAGTGGGGCTCTGAGAAAAGGATTGGGTTGGGTTTTAGGGCTGTGAACCTGCCCACAGTTTGCAACCCTAGCCCACAAGAATGTGTCCTTAAGATAGCTCATGACCCAGATCAGGACTGCAGGACTGGACTCATGTCCAGACTTCTTTGCAAATTGTTTTTTTTGGGGTCGTATAACTTCGTATAATGTATGCTATACGAAGTTATTACGCTTTTTTTTCTTTTTTGAGGCTGGCTGCTATGGTGATCCCAACCCTTGACCTTGATGTTATAAGGTGATGCTCCAACCATCTGAACTAACCTGGCCAGCTCCTGTAAATTCTTTTAATGGTTTTTGAAGAATCAGTTGGTAAACAAAAGCCTACAAACTTTAACTGGGTGAGTTTCTTAGGAAGGAAAGATGATTTAAATGTAAGATATTGCAACTTTTGCAATATTTGAATATCTCATGTAGGTCCATTTTTTAAGTGTAAACAGACCAGATTGCACTGTTTACAAGTGCATGTGTAATGCCAAAGTGGCATGTTTTGATCTCCTTTAGTAAGATGCATTTTCTGCCCCCCCCCCCCCCTTAAGTATTCTTCTCCAGGTCCATTTAGAGTAGAGCTTTGGTTTTTTAATTACGGTCTTGTTTTAGCGCAGTGTTTCTCCACACTTTTCTCCACACTGTTCTTGTGTACCACACTTTATCGAAAACACACCACATTATACATGTTATGATTCTCAATGAGGAGGTTGAGATATACTTTTCTGAGGAGGTAGATGGGTGGGAGATGGGCTGCCATACTTTCTCTGACTTGAAAAAGCTCTCCCTCCTCTTTGGGAGTCATTGATCTGGCAGTAAGATCAGGGTCCTAATCAATAATTCTAGTTTGGAAAAGCTTTTTGGATTTGTTTAAAGAGCGGCCTTGTGTGAGTCTAACTGGGAGATCATCCGTGTAATTCCAGTGACTGGACATTCAGTCTTGGTCCACTGTCCTCTTTCTTTTACTTGGTGGTGTAAGAGGCCTGTTACCACCAGCTCCTGGGAGGAGAGGAGTTGGCCAGGTGGGCTGGGATTTTTACAAACTGATTTCTTTCTTTGGCTGGATTTGGTTGTACCCTGGAAGGAGTTGGGGTGAGGTGGAGTGGAAACAGCATTGGATTTTCAATCAGAAGCTCCACTCCCACAGTGTGACCTTAGGGCAGTAGCTGCTTAATCTTTTTTGGTTTTAGTTTCCTAATGAGTAAAAGGGAGGGGTCTAGATGAGAATTATATGGTGTCTGTGGTCCCTTCCTGTTCCAGCTGTGAATTGCTGAGGAGTTGGAGTTGGCTAGAGGAGACGCTTGTATTCCCATTACCCCATTTGTTTTGTTTCTTGACTAGGTTATTTGCCTTTTAGGATTATTTTAGCAAAATTTGCCTGAGAAGCATAATAATGCCCAGTGCAGTGTAAATATTCACACATTCAGACACAACCCTCTCTGCATTCCCCCAACATATGTATGAAATATGAATCTATCTGTAGTGAGGAAGCACAGTGTTCATTGCTGTGGATTTTTTTCTGCAGTGCTTGCCACCAGTCAGCCAGATACTTCTGGAGTAGTTATAGTAATAATGTCACAGGAATATAGAAAGCAACCTGGCACCTTTGGGATACCTATGGATACATGACTTCTCCACCCCTCCCCCTCCTTTTTTAACCTGATCTGTTAATGATTGTGCCTAATTATGTATTTTTGGTCTTCTTACTGTTTGCAATTCTCTTGCTACTTACAGCTGTATGTTTGCTTTTGTTTGCTGTAAATCCTGGGCTGCCATCTGAAGCACAACTTGATGATTGTGTATTATCATCTTGGGTTAAGTGCTGTCTCATTGCTTTGCAGGCTGCCTGCTGTTTCCCGGGGAGATCATGAAACGAGGTCGCCTTCCCAGCAGCAGTGAGGATTCTGACGACAATGGCAGTAAGTCCTGCTTTGTTGTTCTTGGAGCCTACCAGGGTTTGGGTCAGTGTAAAAACATGATTTTTTTAATGTAATGCTTTAAATAGTTGAGGTCCTTTGCATATCAGGCAGGTCAGAGAAAGCCAAGGCCTGGAGAAATACATCTGAGTGTGATACTGCAGGTCTGTAACCAGATCATTCCGGGTAAGGTTGACTGCAGGCAAGCATTCCTGAGGCACCTGCTTGTTATCCTGGGATGGATAATCCAGTTCCAAGAGTCACTGGTGTGTCTGTTTTTCCTAAACATCATTTATGGTACTTTACAGTTGCTCTTTATGAAAAGGGAACTTAATGTAAGTCATGTAATTATTAACTAATTCAACTCAATACAAGGATACAAGGGGAAATTGAGGACTGCCTAGTGTGATGTGAGAATATTAAGTGACCTGTACAGGTTTGAAACAGGTAATGAGTCCATGCTCTTCACTTGGATTTGCCATGGCTGTATTTAATACTACTGCTGTCTGCATCTCAGCTCTCTGGCAGCCTCGTATTTTCACAGTGCAGCTGAGAATCAAAACTTAGTTGGCTTCCAGGCAGTCAAAATAAATGTCATACAGTGTCTGTGCATTGAGAAGCTAACAGACTGCTCAGAGGAGAGTTCCCCTCAGGTAACAGAAGGAAATTTTGTGCCTAGCACAGTGCCTGAACTCTATCCCATTGGCTTATGTTTTATATTACAGATAAACTCAGGAAATATTGAAAGAATGCTTGCTATACTGTGGGCCTGCTTTCAAGGAACTTGGCCTTGGATATATGTAATAACGGCTCTGATATGAAGTCATCAGGGCAGTAATAGAGATGTCTTTTTGATGCCCTGTGGAAGTATACATATATACAGAGGCATGTGTCACTTAATGACATGATACTTTTTGAGAAATGCGTTATTATTAAGTAATTCTGTCGTGTGAATATCAGTGTGTACTTACACAAACCTAGATGTTATAGCCTGCAAGATGTCTTTTTGATGCCCTGTGGAAGTATACATATATACAGAGGCATGTGTCACTTAATGAAATGATACTTTTTGAGAAATGCGTTATTATTAAGTAATTCTGTCGTGTGAATATCAGTGTGTACTTACACAAACCTAGATGTTATAGCCTGCAACACACCTAGGCTGTTGTTGTAGCCATTATAATCTTATGGAACCCCCATTGTATATACGGTGCATTGTTGAGAGAAATGTGGATCTCTGGTACACAAATCCAGAGGAGGGGGAGGGCCAGAGAAACCTATACAGGAGAAGAAGGTTGGGCAGGTTCTGAAGAATGAAAGTTTTTAGGCATACAGGGTTGTTTTTAGTTTTCTGGTCTCTAAGTTTTCAGCAGATTAAAAGTGCAAATTAGAAAGCAAGGCTTTTCTGCTATAGTGGTCACATGGTTAGGTGCAGGAAATATAGGAGGGGACCAGGAACATGAAAAACAGAAGAAATCAAATGTGGCATTTTGTTTGGTGCTTTGGGTGCAGGCATGGGGCAGGGGGATGTAGAATTGATGGTTATGGGAGGGTGTCAGGTGTTTGGGGATATATGCAAAGGTAAACTGTGACCAGATCTTGAAGGGCTTGGGATAAGGAGTTCTAAGAGATTGGGGCTTTGGGGCAAGCAGTGGAAGCTACTGATGTTGGGAGCAGGAGAGCAGTGAACTACGTGAGGGAGGGAATAGGGGCTCCAGAGAGAAGGGCTTTCCTCTTCTTTCAGGGAGAGGTACTGAAAGTCTGTCTCCAGGTGCAGGCAGGTAAAGCCACTTGTGCAAGCCTTCGGGAGTGCTGCCTCTGAACTTCTGAGGGACTTGTCATTTCACAGCCCTCACTACCTGTTTTTTCTGATGTTTACAGTTTTAGGCATTTTATCCCTCGAGGCAAAAACATGCTTTGGTATTTCTTCTCTGCCCCCCTGTGGTGCCTATCAAAGGGTCCTCATGAGTTATAAGTACTCAAGAAATGCTTGCTGCTTGCTTGAGTACACAATTGTGTCCTGTAGCAGTGAAAGAAAAAATCTTGCTTTTTAGGTTCAGAATTAATCAGAATATTTTGTGAAATTACCTCTGCATAGTAAGAATGCCCAAGGAAGTGAATAGAGTCCTATTTTAATTTTTTTTGGAGGGGGAGGGATTGAGCAACAGGTTTACGATCGCTCTGTCTGTTCTTGTCACTGCCTCATCTCCTCCTTGGGAGAGCTGGCTTGCAAAACGTCCTCCTGGAATGCTCTCAAACTTAGAACCTTCCCCGTTCTGGACCAGCACTGTCCAGTAGGATGGAAATGTTCTAATCTAGTGCAACTGAGGAAATGACTTTTCAAATTCTATTTAATTTTAATAAACTTAAATTTAAAAAGCCACAAGTGGCTAATGGGTATAGTGTAGTTCTGGACCTTGGCCTACTCAAGTCCCTTTCAGCTGTCCAGAAGCTCATAGGAACCCCAGAGGCCCTTGTGTTGGTCAGCTCAGGCTGCCACAACAAAGCACCAAAGACTGGGCGGCTTAACCAACAGAAATTTATTTTCTCACAGTTCTGGAGGCTGGAAGTCCATGGTAAGGTGTGAACAAGTTTGGTTTGTTCCAAGGCCTCTTGGCTTGCAGATGGCTGCCCTCTCGCTGTGTTCTCACATGGTCTTGCCTCTGTTTACAGGCATCCCTGCTGTCTCTCTCTATCCTACCTCCTTATAGGAACACCAGTCAGAGTGGATTAGAGCCCACCCCAACAGCCTCACTATAACTTAAATCTCTTTCAGGGCCCTGTCCCCAAATGCAGTCACATGCTGAGGTACTTGCCATTAGGGCTTTGACATGGGAATGGGGCGGGGGGGCACAATTCAGCCCATAACAACCCTAGAAGACCAAGTGATTCATGTAAAAATGTATTTCCAGAACTGTCTGCATAGTTAACTTGGTTAGAGCATGATGCTGATAACACCAAGGTCAAGGGTTCAGATCCCCTTACTGGCCAGCCGCCAAAAAAAAAAAAAAATGGATTTCTGCCCAGAACTCTGGTTAAGGAGAGGAAAGAGGAAGAGAGTGTCCAAAGTCTCCACCAAAATTATGTCCATCCAAAGTCACCTTATCTGTGTTGGGCCATTTTCTTCCTCCTCATATGGTCATGCCTGTGCTGGCCTCCTTGGAGAAGCTGGGGGTGTGGGATTAAGGTAAATATTCATAAGATACTGGAGGGTTAACTTAGATATACTGCAAAGCTCAGTTCTATCCTAGCCCTAGGCTGAACATGGAAATCCCAAGGTGGTGGTGGGGGAGGGGGTGATAGTTGCTAATAGAGGGTAGGCTGTATTTTTGTCATACAGGTGGCTTATTATGATGCATATTGATGCTTTATATCTGCTGTCCATGCAGGCTCAGTGATTTGATATTTACGGTGGATGGTGACAGTGGTAAACAGCTCTCATTAGGAACCCCTGGAATGCCAGGCCTTATAAAAAATTGCACATATTCACACCATGGAACACATTCCTTTCCATCCTCTCCGAGGACAGCTGGTTCACAGTGTAGGCCTCTGCTGCCAGCCCACTTATTTGCACTGAAGGCCATCCCTGTGGCCTGGCAGGCGTACCTTCTGCCTCTGCAGTAAGGTCCACAAAGAGAGCCCTACCTGGGGTAGCTCCCCACACCCTGCCCTCCCTCAGCCAGGCCTGGGCATGTGGAAGGTCCTGCTTACAAGAAGGGCTGGGTCTGTACAGTGGCCACTCCCCAGCCTCTCCAGGGTACAGGCCTGACAGAATTTTGGCAGCAGTTCCCAGCCCAATGCAGAGCATGACCAAGTGGAGGAGAGGCAGCTGCTGACGTCAGCATGGGGCCACAGCACTGGCCACAGCCATGTTGGGCCCTGCTGGGCCGGAGCCCTCTTCTTGGTTTTCTGGCCTGGTCCAGGGGAATACCAGTGTGGTATTTACAATTGGGGATGGACAGGCATTTTCTGTGTCAGGTACAAGCCCTCATCCAGCTGCAGTCTAGTTGTTGAAGCCTTTCTCCAGGCACCTAGGAGGCCCAGTCCTGCACTGGATGGAGTAGTGTTGGGCTGTTTGCAGGCAGTGTCTGTAATTGCTGGGCTTCTGGGACTGGGTTGCCCAGCCAATCTCTGAAGTTACACATTGTGCCAGGGTGTGGCCCAGGGAAACAAGCCCTTAATTTCCTGCTTTGCAGCCCAGTTTCTTGTGTCCTTAGGGGTTTTGGCAAATGTGGGAATGGGGTCTACCAGCTACTTTCAGTATTTCTAAAACCTAAAGGAGGGGTGTGTGTGCGTGTGCATGTGCGTGGCTGGTCGGTACAGGGATTGACCCTGGACCTTGATGTTATCAGCGCTATACTCTAACCGCCTGAGCTAACTGGCCAGACCCTCATTTTGTCTTCAGTAAAGATGCAGAGGCTAGTTAAAACATCAAATATTCTTGCTTTTGGTAGGAATTATATATTATTGGTAATTTCAGGCCAATTAATAGTTCTGGTCGGCATCCTTATATGTATTTTTTCCTATAAAAATAAGACAATTAAATAGTACTTAATGAATACTGTTCATCTGGCAATTTTTTTTTTCTTTAGAACATGAAGTCTTTCTTTGGCTAGGATGAAGTAGCCAAATACAAATGGTGTTTTTGTTGGATCTGGTTGTTTTAAAATTCATTGCCTCTTAAAGATCCAGAGGGACATTTCTTCCTTTACTTTTTGCAAAGCACGATAGAATTGTGCTGATAACAAAATTTTTTGTAAAGTGGTGCATCAGGGCTTTTTTCCCCCTAACTTCCTATATTTCAGGACTTTGTTCATCTCCTTGTGGGAAGAAGGTTTGGAGGCAGGCACCACTTGGCCTCTGCCTGGACTTGGTTTCCACACCTGAACTCTGCTGGAAACACATCTGTTTTCCCCAGTTACCAGAGCCGAGCTCTGCTCCATCATCTGTGATAAGAATGGGCAGAAATGAGAATCGACTGAAATTCAAACTTACTAATTTTG